GATCATTTTTTGCAGGAAGGAGCACAATTGAGCAGACACAACTTTTTCTACAATTTTAGACATAAACGGAAGATTTAAAATGGGTCTGTAATTTGCCAGTTCACTAGGATCTAGTTGTGGTTTCTTAATAAGAGGCTTAATAACCGCCAGTTATTAATTGTTATCACAGTTGTGCTGCTTAATATTTTTGTGGAAACTACTGTGTGACTTTTTTTTCAGAATTTCTTGATAAATTGAAAGTTCAGCATTTATTCAAAATCTATTGCAACATTATAAATGCCTTTGATGTCACTTTGTTCAATTTAATGCATCCTTGCTGAGTAAAAGCATTAATTTCTTTAAAAAAAAATCTTACTGACCACAAACTTTTGCCAGGTAGTATAACTAACTCAATGTGTTACGTTGAACACTATAGCATGCAGGTTTTGATTCCTACCTTCACCATTTCTAATCATTTTTTTCAGGGCCGTATTGTTGAGCCCAGGGGCCCAAGGGATTTTGGTTGGGATCCTTGTTTTCAGCCTGATGGCTATGAAAAAACGTGAGTATCATTTCTTAAAGGGTTAGTTCACCCAAAAATGAAAATTAGCCCATAAATTACTCACCCTCAAGTCATCCTAGGTGTATATGACTTTCTTCTTTCAGACGAATCCAGTCGGAGTTATATTAAAAAAATTGTCTTTGATCTTTCAAGCTGTTTCTTGGCACTCAGCGGGTGTTGCATGCATCTGTCCAAAAGAAGTTAAATAAAAAGCGCCCATCCATAAAAAAAAAAAGTGTCTCACATGGCTCCGGGGGGTGAACAAAGGCCTTCTGTAGCAAATCGATGTGTTTTTGTAAGAAAAATATCCATATTCAAAACTTAATAATCACTTTAATGTAGCTTGCGCTCACTGTTGTACACTGGATGCAGTTCCGGGCGGATGACGTATGGAGATCGGCTTTGCGCATGCGCTGCTCAGAAGTGACGCACGCGGAAGCGCAGGGGAGAGATCAAAACAAAACAATGGTCACTTATTAGAAGTACAAAACAAGGATTTGTAAAGAAGAATGTCGGAGGATTTCGATATAAGCCAAGAGGAGACTGGTTTTCCTTTGCTAAAGTAAGGAAACTTTGCTTCCTTTGCTCCTGTTAACAAACGTTGGTTTTCACGAGACTCACCGGCGCATGCGCAGCACTGACCTCATACGTCATCTGCCCGGAACTGCTTCCAGTGTACAACAGTGAGTGCAAGCTAGATTAAAGTGATTATTATGTTTTGAATATGGATATTTTTCTTACAAAAACGCATCGATTTGCTACAGAAGGACTTTGTTCACCCGCCGGGGCCGTGTGAGACACTTTTTTTATTTTTATGGATGGCTGCATTTTATTTAACTGCTTTTGGACTGAACACCCGCTGAGTGCCATGAAACCGCTTGAAAGATCAAAGACAATTTTTAATATAACTTTGACTGGATTTGTCTGAAAGAAGAAAGTTGTATACACCTAGGATGACTTGAGGGTGAGTAATTTATGGGCTAATTTTCATTTTTGGGTGAACTAATCCTTTAACTGTGCAGTTGTGTTTCTCAGGTATACCAGTAGGTGACAGTATTGGTCAAAGTAAACCCTCTGAAAAGACTTGTGCTTTTAACCAAATCTACAAATATTTATGAAAGACTTTTCCTATAGTCCACGCGTTCACAGTATAAGAATGCATGTTGTAAGACGCTTTATAAAAAATTGTTGTACTCTCCTCAGAGAATGAAACATTGACGAGGAAACAGAAGCATTGAGTATTTTTCTGGCAACAATAGGTTAAATTGAATCCCAAATAAATTTGTCAGATAAACTTAGCACTTAAAGCCTTTTTAATTTGATGGTGGTTTTGTTTTTCTCATTCCTCTGTGCTGTGTTTCTTTGGGTAGTTATGCTGAGCTCCCTAAAGCAGTGAAGAACAGCATCTCCCATCGGTACCGTGCCCTGGCAGCCTTGTCGGAACACTTCTCCAAGCTTAACAACACACCGGAGACCAAGCATGCAAAACACCAAGACTGAGTACTGTTGGCTTTCCAAGCAGATTCAGCCAATCGGAGCTCAGTTTGCCTCATCAGGCTCTGGTTCAAATCAAAGCACTAATGTACTGCTCATAAACGGTTTCAAATGTACTCAACAGTATATCAACATCTTTCATTTTCAAAATTAATTTCAATTAGTACTGAAGTTATCATTAGCCATAGTGATTAATTGGCTTAGTATAGAAACAGTTTATGGTATGTCCCCATTTGGATTGCTTTGTGTGTGTGTGTGTGTGTGTGTGAGTGAGAGTGTGTGAGAGAGAGAGAGAGGGGACAGAGCAGGTCTCAGGATAGAGACATGAGGAATTCAGAGTCATAAAGCTTCAGGATGTTCCTGTGGCACCTCTTGTTTGTTCATTTGCCCTCTGCACAGGGGGGATGGAACTCTGTATTACAGTTATATCATCTACTGTTTGTGTTTCCCATTATTAATGGCACGCAGGCAGTGTTTGCACTGCTGTTTCTTGCATTCTCGCTCTCATTCATTCATTCACTCACTCGCTCGCTCACTTTCTCTTCCTTTCCCTCATGACAAAGAAGCCTTCATTGGTAACACGTGCATATGGATGCATTTGATTCAGAAAACAGCCTCCCACTACTCTTACAGAAAGGTTCAAAAACATATTTTATTCGGTAAAAAAAGATAGATGTAATATCCTATATTGTTCATACTTGTTTGTGAGGTCTATTCAAATCACTAAAAGCAATGGCTGCTGAAAATTCAGCTTTGCATCACAGGAATAAATTACGTTTTAAATTCAATTACAATAGAAAACAGTTCTTCAATTGTAATAATATTTCAATGTTTCTATTTTTAAATGCATGCTTTGGTGAGCATAAGAAACTTTTTTTCAAAAACATAAAAAAATCTTACCAGCCACAAACCTTTTAACCGTAGCATATGTGTGATAATAGTTGCATGTGATATGCTTTTTACTGACAGCCATAACTCAGACTCGCCGCTATGCATGTACAGTACCATAAATGTTTGTATAAGAATAGGACCAATAAACTGCTTTTGGTCTGTATAACCTCTGTAAGATGGCCAGTAGTTCTAGTTGACTTGACCCATTCAGTTTTTTGATGAGTTCAACATCTCTACTTGAACCCACTGTTAAATTCATCAGAAAGACGAATATAGTCACTAAGCGACAAAACGTTTATAGGGCTATAAAGCAAACATTTTAATGTTAATACCCTGGATCATAACTATATGTCTGTTAGGGTCTAATTTCAAACTGAAAAATAGTTGGTTATTGCTCATTCGAAGGCCTTTTACAATGGATTTCGGAAAATATCTCCGGTATTCAGGAGCCCATGCAAACTGTCTATGTCCAAACCACATCAAAACACGGGCCGCGTCCCTGTCCCAGCTCCTGCTGGGCTTCGGAGAGTGAGCCCGTAAAGATCAAGGAGTGGCATATATGGAAAACAAAGAAAGACGGTGAGAAATATGCACCTTGATGACCCTCAATTATGCACAACAACATTCCTCAACTCTTAATCATGTGGAAATGCTTTTGTCTAAAGCTTTTCGAGTTCACAATGTGTACACATGTTGTCGGAATATATATTTCAAATGTAATTTATTCCTGTGATGGTAAAGCTCCAGTCTTCAGTGTCACATGATCCTTCAGAAATCAGTCTAATATGTTGCTTTGATGCTCAAGAAACATTTATTATTATTATCAATGTTGAAAACAGTTATACTGCTTAATATTTTGTGGAAACTGTGACATTTTTTCAGGATCATCTGATTAACCGAAAGTTCAAATGAACAGCATTTAATGGAAATAGAAATCTTTGTAACCTTACAAATGTCTTTACTTTCACTTTTGATCAATTTAATGCATGAAAAGTATTAATTTCACAAAAACAAATCTTACTGACCACAAACTTTTGAACGGTAGTGTATATAGATATAAATATAACTGTCTATTCAATTAAAACTACAGAGACTAAAGGGTCTCATATGTTCTAATGGACCTGTAACTTCACACGTGAGAAAGTGATCACTAATCGTGTGGGTGAAATAAACTGTACTTTTACTCTGCAAGATGTCCTATAAAGTGCAGGAATCCAGTTTAAAAGGTCATAATCTACAGCAGCATCTTGCAGTGACCCATCAGGAGGCCTTCACAAACACCTGGTGTTCTCCACCTCATCTTCAGCAGGACATTTTTGTGGCGTAGCACCTATGGATCTGGTGGAATGATTGAACGCACAGTTCCTGTTTAGGGAAAATGTGTTTATTGCCTTGTTGACTAGACAGCAGCAGGTGATCCAATGTTTCACAAATATTGTTTAAGGTGGTTTGAGACGTGAAGTGAAAAGAGAGGCTCATGCCAGAGTTCTGACATCTGACAGAACAAAGATGAGAAAGCTCTGTTTTTCATATCATTTTGCCATATTCAGTGCGGTCCAAAGTGAAACCCAACATCTGTTTTTTTTTTCTTTTCATTTAAACCTGCAAATAAGCTTTTTTAAAGATTTTAAATATTTACATTGAAAGTGTTAGGAAATAAAACAAAATAGTTAAGATTATGCAGTTTTTTCTGTGTCACTAATCAAACAAGCATATCTGAAAAGGATCTGAAAATTATTGTTTGTTTGTTTGTTTGTTTTTACAAACATCAAAGTGCATGCCGTTTGAGTTCTGCTGTCATTAATGCAAAAGGATGACAATAAAGGATGATAAATACTGAAATTAAATTGCATGCTTTGGTGAGCATAAGAAACTTTTTTTCAAAAACATAAAAAAATCTTACCAGCCACAAACCTTTTAACCGTAGCATATGTGTGATAATAGTTGCATGTGATATGCTTTTTACTGACAGCCATAACTCAGACTCGCCGCTATGCATGTACAGTACCATAAATGTTTGTATAAGAATAGGACCAATAAACTGCTTTTGGTCTGTATAACCTCTGTAAGATGGCCAGTAGTTCTAGTTGACTTGACCCATTCAGTTTTTTGATGAGTTCAACATCTCTACTTGAACCCACTGTTAAATTCATCAGAAAGACGAATATAGTCACTAAGCGACAAAACGTTTATAGGGCTATAAAGCAAACATTTTAATGTTAATACCCTGGATCATAACTATATGTCTGTTAGGGTCTAATTTCAAACTGAAAAATAGTTGGTTATTGCTCATTCGAAGGCCTTTTACAATGGATTTCGGAAAATATCTCCGGTATTCAGGAGCCCATGCAAACTGTCTATGTCCAAACCACATCAAAACACGGGCCGCGTCCCTGTCCCAGCTCCTGCTGGGCTTCGGAGAGTGAGCCCGTAAAGATCAAGGAGTGGCATATATGGAAAACAAAGAAAGACGGTGAGAAATATGCACCTTGATGACCCTCAATTATGCACAACAACATTCCTCAACTCTTAATCATGTGGAAATGCTTTTGTCTAAAGCTTTTCGAGTTCACAATGTGTGCACATGTTGTCGGATGTCTGTCTAGTGGGTAAAACAAGTGTTTAAGGTGAAGAAACATCCTGTAATCATTAATACTTGTTATACAACCAAAACTATGAGCTGTCTGGAGAACTGCGCAAAAAAATTTCTAAATGCCCTTTGGGTACTTTTAAAAAGTATATGTGCAGTTTTGTTTGATGCACATTAACAATTTTGTTTTGCCAATGTAAAATATAAATTTTAATAGATACAGTAAAAACTGTAATATTGTGAAATTATATTAAATATCTGTTTTCAATTTGAATATATTTTCAAATGTAATTTATTCCTGTGATGGTAAAGCTCCAGTCTTCAGTGTCACATGATCCTTCAGAAATCAGTCTAATATGTTGCTTTGATGCTCAAGAAACATTTATTATTATTATCAATGTTGAAAACAGTTATACTGCTTAATATTTTGTGGAAACTGTGACATTTTTTCAGGATCATCTGATTAACCGAAAGTTCAAATGAACAGCATTTAATGGAAATAGAAATCTTTGTAACCTTACAAATGTCTTTACTTTCACTTTTGATCAATTTAATGCATGAAAAGTATTAATTTCACAAAAACAAATCTTACTGACCACAAACTTTTGAACGGTAGTGTATATAGATATAAATATAACTGTCTATTCAATTAAAACTACAGAGACTAAAGGGTCTCATATGTTCTAATGGACCTGTAACTTCACACGTGAGAAAGTGATCACTAATCGTGTGGGTGAAATAAACTGTACTTTTACTCTGCAAGATGTCCTATAAAGTGCAGGAATCCAGTTTAAAAGGTCATAATCTACAGCAGCATCTTGCAGTGACCCATCAGGAGGCCTTCACAAACACCTGGTGTTCTCCACCTCATCTTCAGCAGGACATTTTTGTGGCGTAGCACCTATGGATCTGGTGGAATGATTGAACGCACAGTTCCTGTTTAGGGAAAATGTGTTTATTGCCTTGTTGACTAGACAGCAGCAGGTGATCCAATGTTTCACAAATATTGTTTAAGGTGGTTTGAGACGTGAAGTGAAAAGAGAGGCTCATGCCAGAGTTCTGACATCTGACAGAACAAAGATGAGAAAGCTCTGTTTTTCATATCATTTTGCCATATTCAGTGCGGTCCAAAGTGAAACCCAACATCTGTTTTTTTTTTCTTTTCATTTAAACCTGCAAATAAGCTTTTTTAAAGATTTTAAATATTTACATTGAAAGTGTTAGGAAATAAAACAAAATAGTTAAGATTATGCAGTTTTTTCTGTGTCACTAATCAAACAAGCATATCTGAAAAGGATCTGAAAATTATTGTTTGTTTGTTTGTTTGTTTTTACAAACATCAAAGTGCATGCCGTTTGAGTTCTGCTGTCATTAATGCAAAAGGATGACAATAAAGGATGATAAATACTGAAATTAAATAAAAAAAATTATTTCTACCTTGTACTAAAATTATTATGCTGAGTACATAATATGTAATCAAATATATTTAAATTGCAAAATGCAAAGTAGAAACATTTTCACAAATGGTCTCAGATTTTTGAACACCGAAGGTATGTTTTCACCCCATGATGAATAAGATATGTGTAAGTTAAAAGAACAGTTCACCTAAAAATTTAAATTTGCTGAAAAATTTCTCAGGCCATCCAGCATGTAGATGAGTTTGGTTTCTCATTGGAACAGATTTGGAGAAATGTAGCATTACATCACTTGCTCACCAATGGATGCTCTGCAGCCAATGGGTGCCGTCAGAATGAGAGTCCAAACAGCTGATAAACACATTTGTTTAATGCTGCTTTGGACTGTTTTCACTTGTAAACACTTGATCTGTGCATATTCTCTCCTGATTCAGACGAGATTACTTTTTCTCTGGAGGAAGCAATATTAGAGGACTCGTATTTTAACAACTGTTTAAATTGAAAAACGTTTTAATGATGGATTTGTTTCTTACAGACACACAGTTTTTTTGCTTCAAAGGATGTTAATTGATGGACTGGAGTTGTGTGGATTACTTGTGGATCATTCTGGTGTTTTTATCATTTGTTTGTCTCTCATTCTGACGGCACCCATTCACTGCAGAGGATCCATTGGTGAACAAGTGATGAAATGCTACATTTCTCTAAATCTGTTCTGATGAAGAAACAAACTCATCTACATCTTGAATGGACTGAGGGTGAGTAAATTTTTATTTTTGGGTGAGCTAGTCCTTCATGTGTTAAGAGCACTACTAAAACTCATCCTGTCGCACTTATAGTCTTGAAAACATACGTAATACTAAGTATTAAATGGCAGCATCCTGTGTGGACACCATTCGGAAGTAAACTTGACCTCTGGTGAACTCTAAACTGGTGTGACCTGTGTCTTGGTGTTTAAAGTCTTCATGACGGTAGGTAAACACATTACTGGGAAAGATCGATGCTTCCTGCTTCATCACATTCAGCAGCACAGCAATGACTAATGTATCCGGAGACATGGATGTTTGATTGAGGTCTGTTCTGCAGTCACGGTCAGTTTGAGACTGATCAGCTGCACCGGTACGGTAGTGTAGGAAACTGCAGTGCAAAGGAAGAGCGAGAAAGCAGGGCACATTCTGACCTCCTCACCCTCAGGGCTTTGTGTCATGAAAACCATCTTGAACAAAGATTTTAAGTTCTGTGTGGACAAATCACACTCCATTACCCTGGACATTTACTAAGAAGATAAAACAGTTACAGATTTGCTCTCTTTGTTCAGTTAAATAGAAAATGTCAGACTGTTTCATTTTTTCTGATATCATAATGAAGAAATAAACCTCAGTAAATGAATTAAATTATAAACAATTCTTCATTAAAATTTCTTTATTTTTTATATTAGGCCTAAAATATTTTAACAAAACTGCTTCACTCTTAATTAATATTTAAAATGCCTTTGTCCACCAAATCAAAGCCATGAGGTGTGACAAACTCAATTGGTATAACCAAGATGCAGAAATAAAATCGTACCATATGGGATTCCTGCAGACCTTCATGATTGTGTGTCAAGGTCAATAAGTCAATAATCAATCATTTGACCTTTTTATGACATAGAACGTTTCAGGACTGTAAAACGCCATGTGGTGTGACTCCCCAAAAAACGTAACAATATTTTCTGATTAATAATTCAAGATACGTAAAAAAAAGTATATATTTATCTTGAAAATATATTTTAAAATGTGAAAATAATAAGTAAGATGTGAAAAATATGGTTTTATCTATTTCTTATCATAGACTTATATGTCATCGACAACCAGTCATTATCGCAAACAAACCCAGAAAGAATGATCAGGGCTTCCATGTGAATTTAATTTGTTATGTGAGGAAAAGAAAGACATAAAACTAGCGCAACTATGTAGGAAATGGGTTGCCTGGGAAAACAGTCAGTTATAAACCGTAGCTGTCACCAGGCATAAATATTATCCATTGGTGAGCAAAATGTAATGCAAAATTTTTCCAAATCTGTTTCGGTGAAGAAACAAACTCATCTATATCTTGGATTGGAGGGTGAGTACATTTTCTGCAAATTTTCGGTTGAACTATTCTTTTTCAAAGGAAAAATATGTAAGATTTTTTTATTAAAATATCCAAAACCCACTAGAACAGTGTTATATATTTTGCTGAATTGTGTACTTACATTATCCCAAATGTTTCGAAGAATGTTTAAATCCAGAGAAATAAGCCATTTTAACTAGTGACACGGAGCGTGTCCATAGTGTCATTGTGTCGCCTGCTTACACATTGTGCCTTTAAGCTAAAGGAAAATGAGAAATGTTACCTTTTAGTTAACAATATTAACTTCGATGTGTATAAACAGCATAGTATGGAGGTCTGCTCAAGTGCATGTGGGACTCATCTGTCACAGGTTTTACCACTCATCCTTCAGCCTTGCACCATTCGCTCCTGTTGTTTATAATCCTTTAACCAAGTCTGGATTCCCGTTGAGCACCATCTCATCAACCAGCCTGCCACCTTCCCATATACATCCCATATGAAATGTGCAAATGTTCATCTAGAGGCCTTGACTAAATCTTCTGTGACTGTATCTCTCCTGCTCTTACTCCCCTAGTTTCAGGACGTCTGCTCATCTCATCAAGACGACAGGGCAGTTTATTTAAACCGTTTTCAACGTGCACCAAACCCTGGACTCTGACTGAGTGAATAAACAATAGGATCAACAGGCAGATAAATATTTCCTTTTAGTGACATTTGAAGTCAAAGGTCATACATTTGTTTCTTCATAAATTGTGGAATATATTTCTTGGGTGTGAATATGTGAATTGCTGATATGTATGCAAGCCATTGCTTCTTTTCGTTTCTAAGCATGTTCCCTCCATCATAAGGAGAGGTGTTGGAGGTTAAACTGGATAAAAAAAAAAGTAAAAGTATGAGGGCACAGCTTTATAACCCACCTTTATGAACTGAAGTGTCCGACTCCCATAGGCACGTTAAATTAACCTGAAGGTCAAAGGCCACAGCAAAGTGAGACAGTGGAGTCTGTTTAAAGAGGGAAGGTTAAAGTTAGACTACTGTACAGTTTCACATGCTTTTTCTTTTGTTAAAAATATTGCTGTTTCGTTTCGAATAGCCCAAACATTTTGAGCCCAGTGACTTGGAATATTCAAAGTCATGCCTGGCTTTCTCACTGTTTATATCCTGATGTTTCTCATCAGCTTTCCATATATCCTTCAATGTCTCCCAGGAATCTGAAAATGGAAACAACTGGCAAAAGTCTTAGAGAGTCAATATACACAGAGCTTTGCACACTCAACCTGTTGTCCAGCTAAAATGGACCACACCAGTGTTGTGCTCGAAATACACATGCAAAAGAAATTTCACTTTTATGTCTGTAAGTGCATCCTTACAGGGGAATTAAGTGCTAAAAGTGTGCACCTTTAACCAGGGCCCTTTTGGGGACACATCACCTAATCTTTTCACTTTGCGAAGCACCTTCTATCCCCACGTGAAACATTTCTCAAGGCTGCCTGTTTTACAGATCATACCTCCTGTCGCTTGCGGGACACATTCTGGGCCTGCTTACAAAACCATCTGAACCATTCTCGTCTGAAGAGTTGCATTACTCTGCATTTTTTCTTGTTCATGTGACAGGATGATCAGAATTTATTGCTCCAAATGTTCCATGAATCTTCTCTAGACCCTGGTTATTTTCAATGTTTGTTTAATCAATTTCAGGGAATTTCAGTGAGTATATAAATACAAATTCAACCTTAAATAAAAAGTCTAAAACAACCTTCAGAAAATAACCCTGTGATATTAAGCCAAACGGCACACACGAATGTATACCTTTTATACAGGTGTATATATAATTAATTCCAGTGATGGAAAGGTACATTTTCAGCAGCCATTACTTCAGTCTTCAGAAATCATTCTAGTCATCTAATCGGAATTAATAACTCACTAACTTTTAGATTTGTAATCACTCTATGACTAAAGCTGGGCTGTTTTTGATGATGATAATGATGATGATGCTTTATTATTATTATTATTATTATTATTATATTATATGAAGATAAGTTGGTGGTGATGATTTTATACTTTTTGTTGTATTAGATTTCGATAATGATTTTTTTACTAAATTATGTTTAATTTTTTATTCTTGTAAACAGTACAGAGATTACATAAATGGCATATAACTTTGTATACAATTTATCAAAATGCATCAATTTCATCAGAACACATAGGAAAGAAAAATAAGAAAAAAAGTTAATGATTGGTAAGAAATATAACAATGGAGAAATAAGAAAAGCTAGAGAGATAAAAATAAGAAAAAAAGAAATAAAAATAAACCATAAGGATGTTAATTTATACAACAATTAGACTGTAGAAATTATTATCATTACATATTAAAGTCGTTCTCCTTGCTTTCTTAATGTTTAATATTTTATTAGAAGAAGGTGAAGAAGATGGTGATGACGGTAATGAAGATGTGTCTGCAGGAAACAGTATTCGTCCAGCTGTTCTGACTTCCGCTTCAGTGCCGAGCGAGAGACATCATTCAGGACGCATCCGACTCGGATCAAAAACAGTCAGCGGGACTATAAACGCGCTTCTTCCAAACGGGAATCGACAAAAGCAAGATCTCTGAGGTAGACCGGCCGGGGATGTGGCTCTTGAGGCCCGTGTGCGAGTGCTTGTGTATCGGGTAGTGAAGTAGCCAGAGGTGTTAGCAGTCATGCTAGCTGTCATTCATCTGTTTTCACTTCAGCCTTTCCATTCCTTCACCAATCCTCATGTAAACACCATTATTTGATTTCATGCTTGTTGTTTTTCCCAAAACCACGTCTTATCTTTTCTTTCGATCTTTTAGTGTCCTGTAGGGTCAGTGTGTTTATGGGGTTTTATTGACTGGCATGAAGCTCTGTTTAGCAGGTGCTGCACAGGAACAACAGCTGTTTATTACAAATGATCGATAATATGTGGTTAGTTAACGTTAAATGTTTACACACAC